CAGACTGGACACGGGGATACAGCAGACAGGGGAGACAGCAACCAAGGATTACACAGAGACAAACCATAAGACATGACTCACGAAAACCCAAAGACCAGAAATTAGAAATAATATAATAAACTCAAAAGCCCTGGGTCAATGACCCAGGCATCCTAACAGTGATAATTCTAGAAGGAAGTCACCTAGGATTTTGAAATTGATAACATAAGTCTATCTACTAGGAGGCTGAGGGGGACCACTATCTGTCGCCAGTATGTCACTAGTTTTTTTTTTTTTTTTACCTATAATAACTTAAAGCAGAACATCCTTCCTACAGATGTTCTGTCTATGATTATGTTTTTATTGCTGCAGAGTAGAATCCAGCATTAGTTATTTGGCAGATGGTAAATGAAAATTGAAAAAGTAAGTAGAAACACTCTTTAGGGATGTTATGAGTGTTGATGTTGCATGGTTTGTCCACCAGAAGACACCCATTTGCAGTGTTGGGGAGTAACGGAATGGTAACCGTATTTATACTAAGATGGATTGATTAAATAAATAAATTATTGCTTGAATAAAAATCTTTGAAAGGTAAGAAAATAATAGGAAAACTCAAGATCTCAGAGAATAAAACTCCAAATTAGGGGTTTAATAAGTTGTGGTATGAGGAGTCCTGCGTCTGCTCCTATGGGTGATACAGGCCTCGCTCTGCCAGCGTGATCAGCTGTGAATGACCAAAAATGTAACGAGAAGAAAAACCATTGGTACACTTTTTGGTTTAACCTTTTTCCACCTACATCAAGAATGACTCCAGGTGTTTGTAGTTGCCAACGTAAAAAGCTTCTATAACAGCGGGCAGATTATTTTCTTTACATTGTCTCTGTGTGCATCTTTAGGGTGTGACGTTCCCGGCGATGATGGCGATGTGGGCTAGGTGGGCTCCTCCTCTGGAGCGCTCTCGCCTGATAGCCATGTCGGCATCTGGGGGCAGCTTTGGCGCCTTTGTGGCCCTGCCGCTCACTGGCTACATCTGCCAGATGCTGGGCTGGCCCACTGTCTATAAAATTAGATAGATATTTAAATTTTTTTTCAAAAACTTATGAACAATTTGAAAATAATTCAGGAACAAATATAAAATTATCTATTATATTACATTAGAATAAATCCCTCCATTACATCCAACTAATATCAATTAAAGATAATTGATATTAATTATTAATTGTCTCTCTTAATATGTCTGTATTTTCTAACTTTTAATCTGATCTTTGGTCACACAAAACCTGGTTAAAACCACGTTTGTACCCGTGAAAACAGATGTGTGTCAGCCTGAGGTTGTGGGTTGTGTTCTCAGTTCCCAAAAAGCTTAAATTTATAACAAAGAGCAGCAACAATAACTGCTGTGTTAGTGTGAACGCTCTCTGAGCTTCATCGTCAGCATCATCATCTCCATCAGAGCCAATTCGGGCATCAGTAACTTAATGAGTTCAGACATGTGGAAGTATTTTGGAAGTGGAAGAGCTAGTCTGTGTGTGTTTGTGTGTGTGTGTGGGTCAGCATGTTACAGTGTCCAAACCTGCTGCCTGTCAGCACGCCATGGCATTTGTCATGTGTTTGTAACACATAGTGATTACGAGTGTTCATTGATGAGATAAGAGA